GTTTCTATCGATGCCTCTCGTCCAAAATAAGGTAAAAAACGTTGATTTACATATGCTGTCTCAGATAAAACTTCGTTTTTATTTAATTTCGGTGCGAAAAAAGGATTTTTGTCGATCGTTTTTGGCTCATTTTTGGGAGAATTTCGAGCGGAGTCTCCTCCCTTGTCACTATATATATACATGGAGGGGAAATTTTTTTAAACCCATCTATAATGCATTGTGACACTGAATAAAATAAAAGTAGACCATTTTTTTAAGTAAAATTTTATTTTTAACCATTATAGGTTCAAAGTCACTGCTTGGGCTCCCTGTGAATAGAGCTGGACTTAAACAAAGCCAAAGGTAAAGTAATTTTCGACTCTTAACGTGAGATGGAAAAGCTGTAAATTTTCAGGTAGGCGGGGTTTGTTTTGAAATTCAAGTTAGTTATCGATATTTCTTTGATAACTTTTCTTGTTTGTGGCTTTTCATAACTTATCTTGTTTATTGTTAACTTAAAATTCGACATGATTTCGTTATTACCCTCTGTACCTATTCGCTATTTGTTTATTCCTCGCTTTTTCTTTCAAAGAACAATCATTTTTTCAACTCCTTTACACAATGAAGAGTTCACAATATAATATCATCATTTTGCTAAAAGAGTTTTTGATTGAGTTTTTGTGACATTTTTCGCACTCGGGCATCGTTTTGTATTAKTTTTSCCCTTTTTRTAAAGCKTTTTAGATCCTAAAATACTTTACTACAATTCTATGTATAGTCTAAGGGCTTTTTAATTCTATTACAACAGATTTCTTATTAAAACGAGAACAGTTCTCGCCACAAAAATCACATTTTTGCAGACATTTCTTCGCACTCCTTTTGTCTTTTCATCTTTGTCTGAACTTTTCCCTTGTTTTCGCAGACCATATTGCTCTTGAACTGCCTTCGCTACATTGCTCATATAGTAAAGTACGTTGTCTATCAAATTACTTAACCTTTGCTTTTGTTTAAGTCCAGCTCTATTTGACTGTAAGAAAGCTACTTTAGATTACTTTTTTGCACGCTGTTTTACAGTTTTCTTCATCTTTGTCTGAACGTTTCCCTTGTTTTCGCAGACCATAATGCTCTTGAACTTCCTTCGCTACATTGCTCATATAGTAAAGTATGTTTTCTATCGAATTAAGAAATGGTTGTTCAGCAAAAGCTGTAAAATTCTTGTAATGCAAACTTCACTTCGTTCGCCTCCATCGACTACATAATTTTCCTTTCTTGTCCGCTCTTGAAGTAGCTCAACAAGGACCAATCAGGTGCCGTGTAATATGTGCGCGCGTTGTGATTGGTTATCTAAAAATAGATTATCGGGACATCTGATGGTGGCGATATTATTGGGGAGATGGACACTTCTGGTTATGTACTTCTGCTACGAGCTAATAGCTCATGAGGCCGAGTCCGCGAGTAGTCCTCGTAGTCCACGAGGCCGAGAGGTCTAATTGTTTTAGTATAAACATACTAATCGGTCAAATAATGAAAACAAATTGAAATATCCTTAAAATAATTTACAATTTACAATTTATTTATTTTGATTTTCCCGCGAGTGGTCTATCACAAATCAGACCATTTGTAGAGTAGCCAATCACAGCGCAGTATGAGTGATAGAATTTAGCGAGGCATAAACAAAGACAAGTTTCCTTGGCATTGTGTTCATGCCCCAGTGAATTCTTAGTTAGTTTATAACTAAATCTTATTAGTTGTTGATTGTTAAGATTGTTTCACGCTTTTTTGGGGTGCACTCTACGAGGCAGAGAGTTAGTTATGAAATAGAAATCTGTTTTAAATATTTTAAACTAATTCAATCAACTATAAATGACTTATGAGCATTTTCGAATTAGAAGATAGATATTTGTAATGAAAGATAGTCTGTTTAAGTATTTGAGCTCTTAAAGAAGTTTGTATGGCCAAGAAGTAAATTCCAATTCATGATGTTTTTCCAAATTATCAGTTCACCTCTCAGATGAAGAAAGCGTACAGCGCACAGTACACATATTGTAAGAAAAAACATCTCAAACAAAACCGTCAAATTCATGTGTAAAATTGAGTGAGTTTGTGTTCATACTTGGTATACCTAGTGTTATTCAAGAAAACAAATGAATTCACTCATCAAGAGAATATAAATTAGATGAATAAGCTTAGTTTAGA